CATATTATACTACCTACATGTTAGTATTTATTTGATTTAATACTTTATAAACTCCAAATTATTCAAATCAATTTATTTTAACAAAATTTAATATAGATTTTATTTGAAAGCAAAACTATAAATGTTATAATAATCTACTAATCTATCACAATTAACATTAACAAAACTTAAAAATACTATGTTGTAAACAAATATAAAATATATATTGTATGTATACCAAATACACTGTTTTCTTGACATCAAATATCCATAAAAATTCTTTAAGCTTAATTGTTATTTGATTATTGTAATCCTAATGTCAATTTGGACTTATTTTAAAAATCTACCAACATTAACAAAAGATCTATTCTTTTTTTAATGTAAAATAAAATGTTTGCCAAATTGAAAAATTCATTTTCTAGAATCTATCTCTTCATTTTGGTTGATCTTGTGAACTGACTCAACTGAACGTGGATGAACAACTAAAAATAAAAAATACAATTTGTAAGTATTATTTAAAATCTTAAAAACTTAATTAATAAATCTATAAGTAGACAAGAAACTTTAAATTAAGGCTAAACAATTTTAAATTATTCGTATCTCAAAATTTAATTCTTTTGGTATGCCTAAYTTTTATTTACCTAAATCCCATGTGTATAGGTCTAGTATTACAATTTGTTGAAGTTATGTTTTTATATCAAAACTAAGGCCTATTAATAATAATGGTATTTTATTATTTAAAGTCTAAGAGTATACAATTCTACAATATCTATTATGACAAAAATTGAAAAATGTATTCAATATTAATATTAATTTACCTACTGTTCAGACTCTTTATCATATTAACAAATGATAATAGGTAGGTAACAAAACTTTTATATTTAAAATTAAAAACAACATTACTATATAATTGATCATGTTGGTAATTTATAAATGGACGACCAYCTATCTTTCTTATAGGTCTGTTTCACATAGGAGCGTTCTTAGTTTATGTTAATTAAGTTCATATGCGCCATCGTCGGATCRTTCGAAGTGTTATCAAGTAAAATGCGGGTAAATATGCTTGATAGTTGATAACTCAAACAAGTGAAGAGTCACTTTTAAATAATAACGATTTACGTTACGTTGCCCCAAGGACTATAGATAAATATCTGCAAACCTTGACGTTACCCMTAACTGAATATAACGTCACCCAGAGGCGTATTTAGGCACAGGCCCTATAGTCCCGGGCCTAGAGCGGCAAATTTCAACAATTTTTTTTTACAAAATTAGAAAAAGTATTTTTCATTTGATGAAATCAAACTCAACTAATTTTTGTTCGCTCAAAATTAATCATACTAGTATATCTACATATATCTCAATGTATCTTTTTTAATATAATATTATAATATAATAAATTGTATATTTAAATACGTTTTAGAAATAATTGTAGGAAGGATGGAGGTGGGAAGAAGGCGGCGAATTGGAAAGTGCCTAGAGGCGGAAAAACCTTAATTACGCCACTGACGTCACCACGATGTAAATAATATATTATCTAAATCGTGATAGATGGTAGTGAAAAAACCTTTTTTTTTCCGTATTAAATCACCATATGGGAGCCGGTAGTGAAAAAACCTAATATAAGCGATCATCACATCAATAATAAATTATTTATGTAACTAACTTGTATTGTCCAGAGTCACCCTATATGTCCGAAATTATCTACTTTGTTCCTACAATCTTGTTTTGATGGTTCGAATTATTTTCCTCCCCCTTGAAGTATTTTAAAGTTGTGCTTGAGGTACGTGACTCGAAAAATACATAAGTCGAATTTATTTTTATTCCCCTCGAGATTCGAGCTTTGAGTMTCAACTCTAAGCTGTAGGTATAAATTTATTTTGTGTACCATTTATTAATATAATAAATTAATAACTAGTATATTAAAAAAAAAATACTTCGTACGGGCCTAGAAAATATAAATATCGTACACCTATTAATATTTATCTATATAGGTAGGTAGATACTTACAGTGTGGGCGAATATCTGGTTTAGGTTCATCGATTGTATCTTGTTGGACCGATTGTCCGACGTCGGGTTGCATCATCATAGACATAGGCACGTGAATAGGAACCCTTTGGAACATGGGCACATTTTGGCGCACAGATTCGGACGGCATAGCTTGGTGCATTATTGGACCGTCTCCGCTGGGCTTGTCGGATATAGCAACGGTGTACATGGATCTTCCTTCGGGCATCGCTGGGTGATAAAGAACTTTGTTTGGCATAGCTCTGTCCTCGGCTTCTTGTTTGTGGTGTTGTTGGTGTTCGTGATGGTTTTCGGACGATGGTCTCAGTTCGGGTAACAGCTGTTGGAAGATGGGAATGATGTGCTCTTCGATCTGCTGTTGCTCTTGCATTTGAAGCTGATTGTCAATGTCAGCGTTGATCCTGGCAATCAAGGCCAACGGGATTGGTCCACTTTGGCCTTGTTGGTGGTGAGGATGTGGCGGCATGTGATGGGGTGGTGGAGGTGGTCCCATCATACTCGGCAAATGGGTCATCGGATTAGCACCCATTGGCATCGGCATCATCATTGATGGCTGATGTTGCATTTGTTCCACTGGATTTGGAGCTCGCCTATATTTAGATTAAAATCGATTAGCCTACTTWTTTTGTTTAAGTTGACAGTTTTCATATAAATATTAAAAAGATTATTTCAAGTAGTTTTTTATCACTTTTTTTTTCAGTTAGAACCGACGACGCCGCGGGAATTGCTTGCGCATTACTTATCACCTAGATGTGTCCTATATAACTAGCTCCTATAGTATTTCTTCAAAATAATACTTATTTAGGTATTTATAATTARGGGCCTGCTCGTGCGTCATAATTAAGAGGAAATATTTATGCAATATGCAATTTCGTTACCACCACCCATGGCATTTGTGTTAGGGCCCGTTTTATAATCATAGTTTAAACCTTGGTTACGCTTAACTCGCTGATTTTACCGGCCGAATTCCGCGGTTTAACCTTAGTTTAACTATTAAAACGGGCCCTAATGATCCCAATTTTTTTTTTTTAGAAATTTAGAAAGAGGATAATTTTCTACAGTACACAATGGATTTCGATTATTAATTTTGTTGCTAAATAAACAAACTATAAATTAAAAAAAACTTGTGATAATTAATCATATAGGTATGGCTTACAAATATAATTTTTAAAACCAACCTGCCTAGTAGAAGTCTTCCTCTTTTAAAAAAATTATTGAAATCAAATCACTCTGTAGTGGCGTTAGAGTGTTCCCAATTCCCATTAACTTTTTTAACAGTTATTTAGCTAAATTGGTGATTGCTAAGTCGTCAAGTACCAAAATCCTACCGTATAGTGTATATTACTGCATGTACCTACTCATAATTTTATAATAATTTCTTGAGAGTATATGCTGTAGTATATACCCTATATATATATATATATATATATATATATATATATATATGGAAACACCCCTGTTGTCTATACCTATAGGAGTAACTACAGTTAATTGATATAGTAATGAACTCATACAACAAATGTTGAAATTGAATTCCAATAACAATCTGAATTTATATATCATATTTTCATACCTCTCGTCGTGTCCACTCTCACAAACGATGCTTAATCTTTCACCCGTAACGTGCTCAAAACGAGGATCGGTGGTAATGTTCACGCCGAATGGTAGACGCAATGTTTTTGGTTGATGATCCATGACCTCCTCGGCGCGTTTCTTTTCAATGACACAGTTCATTTTTGAACGTTGATTTTTCTCGAGTAAAGCCTTTATCGAAACAAATTTGTTTTAGAACAGTGTTCATTGGCTCAAATAGGATAATTTCAGCTAGTTATGGTTCCAATTTATGTTGTAAATGTAGTACTATGTCTTATTCAACTCATTATATCAGCTATTGATATAGATAATTAAAAATACATTTATTAAAATAAAAATTGTATTTAATAAATGTTTTATTAATTGTCTTTATTCAAAACATATTGATATTCTCGTATACACCTTCAAGGATTAATTGAATTTTTCGCATTCAAACAGACTATGCAACAGAAGCAAGTTCTCTGGTTTTTATAATTAATTGTTTAAATAATGAAAATCGGTTGCAGCCAAGTACTTCAATGACAATAAGTCAATAACGAATTTATCATTCAAAATACTGACCACTATTGCAAAGAAAATATTCTATTATATGTACCTTTTACAGTTGTACCTATGTAGGTAATATTCTTTTCTGTGGACATTTTGAACAATATTCATTTTTTAAAGGATTTAGGGGGCTGGGCCCTATCGATTTCATTGTACTTAGTATATACCTATAATTGTAGTTGGTACTGTTGCTAAACAAACATACACTCACCCCAACGATTTCATCGAAATCTAATTCCAATGGCAATTTGATTTGAACTGGCGATGCCGGTTGTTGATCATTATTACCGGTGGTTTGACTMTCGACGTTCYTGGTTGATTGCTGGTGCACGGGAAGCTCCTCTTGCTTCGAATCAGAAGTCTCGTCCGATTGCAAAGGGTCGACTAGTGCCTGATACTGTGGACGGTCTACAGCTTCTTCACTCTTTAAATGTAAATATTATAAATATTTTATTTTTCATACTTTAAAGTTTAAAGTTAACTATTTATATGGCCATCTGACTATCTGAGTGAAATATATATATATATGTGACTATATGAGTATTCTCTGTATGCACTGTACGCGTGAGAGTGAACCAATCTTTTAAGATATAACTTATAAATATAATATATTATAATTTTTACACTGTAGAAAGGTTGTCACACATAGATACTTAAAATTTTTTTCAAATGTTTATAATATACCTAATCATATTCCATACACGATATTTTCAAAATACCTATTACATACAGTTTTTTAATTATCTATTAACTAAAAAGTTACTTTTAATTATAATAGTAATAATTATTTTTAAAATGTATTGAGGAACTCACCACCTCCCAACCCATATGTTTGGAGTTACGACACTATAAAGATAAATGGTCCAACAACATTTTTTTGAACTATTTATCAAGTTTAATCTAATTATGTATATACAATATAATATATATATTATGTGTAAATATTTAATATATACTTACTAAAAATTAACAAAATTATAATAAAATGATATGTAAACGACAAATAAAAATGTATGATTTCAATCCTTTAATGTAAAAAACGGATTTTGTTTTGAAATCGTTGCCGGGGACTAAAATAATGCACTTTAGATAAAAACCTAGGTTCTACTGCCCCTACTTATAATCATTTAAGCTAATTTGAGGAGAGTGGATTAAGTTGGTCCTCTATGATCTACCATGGTGTAATAAATTGATGTCCTAAATAAATTTTCAAAAATAATGATATTATACGATTTATACCACAAATTTTGTACTAGCTCTATAAGAATATAATAATATTAATTATTATGACATCGGTCAAATGCACTGTTCAATTGCACATCATTAGGACAGTTCAGTCTTGATACCAGTTATACATGTATATTCTTACCTGTTATATATACATGYATATTCTTACTTGTTATATAGCTGTAAATATAAATATAAATAATACATAATAGTATAATACATAATTTGGAAAACAGATTAACAAAACGCTATCTAGTGGAAACAATTTGTATAGCTATCTTCCTATTCGAGATATTTGTATAGGTTTAGTTTTGTATTGGTCATTACTTATTTTACTTAATTTTTCTAACAAATTAATTTTGCTATAGACATTATACGCTGGTAAGTAAAATTTCAACTAATATTATGGTTTATCAAATATATTCAAATACACTTCACTTGCTAAACGTAAACGAAGTGTTGGAAAAATACATATAAGTTGATAATATTAAACGTACTCCAMGTAGGGGAGATCCGCTATGAGATATAATAACCATCTATATGACAGGACTCCTGGTGTTAATCTGTCTTCTCAATAATACTACAATGTATAATTATTATTATGTGGTACTGTGGTAGGTATTTATTATGCAGTAACATAGTATTATACATAGGTAGTTGCGTAGATCTATGAAGTGTATTCATTTCACAACCATAATAATATATTATTATACCGTCAGAGCATTGTCAGTTGTCACACAACATAAATAAAAATTATACGCCGAGTTGGTCATCGAATTGAACATTATGTCAATATGTAATATGGATTGAATATATGTATATAAACACGTCTTGCCTGCCGGTAACTAAGACGGTTTCAATGTTTCATAACCAACTCGTTTCCTGGGCCTAATGCTCGGTTACACTGAATAATCTAATCTTTATACCTTGCGTGTAACCTATTATTAATACGCGCTTGACCCATATATGGCCATGCGTGTCTTATGGACCCTTGACCAATTCGTTTTCGTAAATTTTTTAACGCGGAAATATGTTTAAGTTGCATATTTATTTGCATAATATAATATTATTGACTGTATTATTATTATTTACAAATGAATTGCATCGCATAACAAAAAATTATTTGACCGTTGCAAGATATATTTATTGATACTCAGAAAAAACAAATAAATAAGTCTATAGGAAAATCGTTTCACTGTTGTTATGCGTGGATTATATTACATAGTGAAAGCTGAATTATTCTATAATCTGGGAAACTGTCATAGTCAAACCAACCAAAAAAAAAAACTTCAGCTCTATAGGTAGATATACAAAGAAAGTGATATTACATCCATTTTTATGTTCTCACTTCTATAACAATCAGATTACTATATGAATATTTAAAAAAWTACTGCTTAAGATTAAATAGACTTCTGTTTTATTAAGTAGTCACATGTAGGTTCTCATTAAAATTTTAATACGATTTTGCAGAGATAAATAAAGTATAAACTATTAATTATACTATATTATGTTACATTATAGTATATACTATACTATATTATATACCTAATAGTTATACAGTATAAAAAATGTTAAAATTAAATAATAGGAATATTACTGTAGCACTTTTTGAGTTATGTTTTTGATATGCTAAATGAACATAAAACTTAGAAATTTTAACTAAATTTGTATACTAGCTGTGTATAAATTTGAACTATTTGCGCATTAAGAAAAATAATAATAAAAATAGGAGGATGGTACACTTACCGAAATGGTGAAATATTAAAACTCCTGCTGAGTTGACAATATAATACCTTATAATAAACATTATGAATTATAACGATAATTATAAGAGCCGTGAAAAATGGAATCAAATAATTTTGATTTAAATACGGACAATATAGCAATAATTCTTATGTCATGAATTCGTGACTATCCGTTTGCAATAATCAATAGAAATTATACCGTGATTTGTATTAAATTTTATTTTAAAAAAATTACTTAACATACTTACATACGAATGTGAAACAATATCAGTATCGAGATTTATGGATATTCAACTTTTTATACAGTCATTGGTTAACGGTTGGGTATGAGGCCATTATAAGGTATTAAAATATTAAATAATCTCAGGAACTATAGAAGTATAATATATTGTTTTGTGTCTACCTGTCTGAGGAGTGCTTCAGCGTGCATTAATTGCGAGCAAGACGCGTTCGCCTGTAACCAAGCGGCTGCCAGCATGAATGATCCAAGTATGAACGAGCACGCGATCACAGTGAATGCTGCTATTCTTGCTATTTGGACGGCAGTCGGTCGAGTTTTGAGTTTGTACGCCTATAAATAAAATATGCATTGAAACTTCATTATAATATTAAATTATAGTAGGTACTATAGCTTGTGCTTAACAACATGTTTATGTTAAATTATCTAATTAATATCTTAAATCAAGAAAAATTCACGGTACTATCGTGGGCCTTATTGCGGAGTTTGTATCGACATAAATTATTTCCATAAAAACGGATTTACAGCTAATGATGTTTACCATATATAATTCATATCTTATCATAGTCAATATAAAATAATTAATAAAATAAACTTAAAATTAAAATTAAATAATTTTTCTTTCAATAAAATATGAATTACAGTTGAATTTTAAAATTTTTTTTAAAAATATTTTAGGAAACAACTGAATAATTTATTATGGAGGAGCTATAGCAAGTTTTGGGGTGCTAAGTGCCCTAGCCATAGGCGTCTGAAGTGGAGTAAACTAGAACACATTACCTGGATTTTTTTATTTTATTTTTTAAATTGAGAAAATGCAAAAAAAAATTGGAAATTTTTTTAATTTCTCCTCAAATCCTAGCATTCCCTCCCTCGGAACAATTTTTGAGAGAGCCTAGCTATACACTTAACAACCCCCCCCCTTCCCATAATTTATTGCGCTTATGGTCCTAGGTAAGTGTCTTATATAACGACTCATAAGTTGCAACACATTAGGTATACTCTAACCTCGAGTATATCTCAATAGTGAAAATTATTTTAAGTACGTCGTTGTGTTTGTAGTTTTCTGCAGTAATAGGTACCTAATTTCTACGTTTTTTTATTGTTCCATAAGTAAATTTCAAGCTTTACGAACATTTTAAAAGACAATCTAGGTTGAAGTTGTGATGCCTACGCAATACAAGTGCATTCATAATGATAATATTATAATATATGCATCGTTTAAAATTATTATAACCATTAATAAATCATGTTTGTTGTGACCTGCAATAGGTGAGGATGGAATATCCGAACCCAAATAATAATTCAACTTGTATTATATAAATGTGTAGTGTACACAAGGAATACAATGTTTACCATTATTGTTATTATTACAATAGTCCGAACAATATCCAATAGGAGCCATAGGAGGATGCACGCCACATGGATTTATGATTTTTTTTGTGATGTTGAAATAGCTGGTAGATTAGCTTGCCAGATAAATATTGTGTTATTGTTATACTTGCTTGTATTGTACCATCCTATAGGTACAATAGATACAATAATATATATACGACCGGATTTAACTACGTTAAGCTCGCATAACGTCTGATCACGATTTTCAAATAATATATTATGTACAAAAGCATCCGTAGTTAGTGTAGGTAGATATACCTRTATAAAAATATGTATTCCTCCGATTCCTCTCCAGAGTCACCGGCATATAACATAAATATACATATACGCGTATAATTCGTGACGATAATCACTCACGAGTTTTCATGACTCGTCGTAGGTCGTGTCTCTTGCCTATTTGTCTATATATCTATATTATAAGTACGTAAAAAATATTTTTGAATTTATTCCACGCAGCATACACRCCTATATTGTATAGACAGACAGATGCGTACCTATACACATTATAATAGATTTATATATATATATATATTATAATATAAAGGTAGATATTATCGTTTTGATATTCTTATAATATATAGGTATATGACTTTCACACGATTTTGGAATAGGTTATAGGTACCTATATTTAGAATTTATAGATTTATGCGCTTATATTATATATAATCATTACAATAGCACTTATAAAGTATTGCAATTTTTTATTTTTTACACAATGATATATGCATGCAGATGAGTTAGACCAAGCTTGCACCGTTCGTTGTTTTAATATAATAGTACATATTATAATCACGTTCACCTAACTGGACCGCCGCAATAATGGCTACGCTGACCACAATTAAATGGTATTATGTATTTTTTTTTACCATTTTTAACTGTTGTTGGCCGTCGAGTTGTGCGTGTTAATATAGGTATCGCCTAGGTATAGATATTATATATATTATAATACAATGTATAGGTATAGGAAATTCGTGTTCTCCGTGGTATTCCTAACGAAATGCATTTATATTTGTTCCGCGACGGCAATAAGAAACCTTAACCGAACCACAATATTACCTATTACCTGCTGCTATATATATATATATAAGTACGCGACTATTGAAAATGTATTACGGGCGTTGTTTCTACGGCGAAGAAAAGTCGTAATTGCGGTTTTCCTACGAATACGGCGTGGGACATGATGCCTGCCTATACCTATTACTTTCTCGATTACCGTTGTACCGTCACGGACGTCCAATAATATAATCTATAATAAATAACGAACATTTTATTATATATAGAAGGAAATATAGTAATGTATATATATATATCGTAATAATAAGTGATGCAGTTCGCTGACATCGTCGACKGACAATTATATACAATATTAATGGTTAATGACACGACTGCAGCACTAAATAGGATATTTCATTCTGCGGTGCGATACCGTGCACCATCAAGCGGCTATTAACGGAATAAAATCAAAATGAAAAATCGAACTGGACGAACTGTAATAATATATATATATATATATATATATATATATATATACATCATCACGTGCAAAGAACGCGGGCGTTGTGTGTGCGACCACTGAAACAACTCGTCTCGCGTTTCGCACTTACAGCTGCAGCATTGTACCGGTTCGGCACAGGATATATATAATAAAGTGCAGTTCGGTGGAATTGAATTTGAAAGTTGTAATTGTGCAGCAACCTGCAGAGCTCTAATAGAGGAGATACGGTAATTGAAAACTATTTAAATTGCTCAAATATATTAATATATTATGCTGCAGACTGCAGTCTTCGAGTGATACGTTGCCGCTGGTATTGCCGTATACAATAATTATAATTATTATATAATATGATCATATTGCGCGTACGGAAAATGTTTTATGTAATATAGGTATTGCAACATATACGTATTATAGGTAGGTACGAGAAAATCATAAAAATTATATCTCGTCACAATAATATACCGACCACGGGTAGGTACACGATTTTCTAGCGAGATGTGAAAACTATCCAGCAACACTTCTATTTGGAAAACTGTGCGCTATACAGGAATAGATAATTATAAAACACATCATTGTCATATAGGTGCCTTCGTTAAGAATCTCTCGTCTTGATAGGTATAGGTGTAGGCCCGCGCAGCGTGTATGGGTATTTTAAGAAACATATTATAGGTAGGTATCTTGCCTGTACTTCAGTACACACGATGTACTCTCTGTTTCACGAGAAAAATATTTTCGATTTAAAATAGGTACTCGAATGCATTTTATACATATTGGAAATGTTACAGTTAACGAACTATTTTTTTTTTTAATTTCGATAATCTATATATATACTGGATGAAACGTAATATATCAAATATTGTGGTTAAAATTAAAGTTATATATTTTAATTCTTTGATCTCGGTTATCATACATATAGCTAAATATAGGTATAGCCGTATAGGATTAATTCGTGTTTATCCGCACGAATATTTTGTATTGTAATATTTATTATATTATTTTGTATTGCCCACACTATTATAGTTACCTATATGATTCTATACATTATAATATTATGTACCTACAGACTTCCTGTCGAAAATACAACTGCCGCGATGTGTTACATGTATAGACATATTATACACGTATAGGTACGTCATATTAAAATGTATATTTGCAAACAGGACATCCGGTGCACTTGGAAATGACTTGCAAAAAAGCCGAAGCAGAGAGGTTAGGTACTAGGTGGTGGGTGTATAATGTATATTATGTATAAAACATATTTTATACTAGTATACGTATAGCTGATGTGTATATGTGTAAATAAAACTTACGTTTTTAAATTTTTATCGTAATTCTATATATTCGTAAACTGCTCTTATGTATATCAATTCCCATTAAACGTATTGTAATGTATTATTGTATCTTATATTTTAGTTGTATGGAAAGTGCGTTGAAATCGACCAAACTCATTATGTTTTCCGTGTCAATAATTTAAAAATCGATCACATAACGGCGTAGGTAATGAATARACGGCATGTCTGTGGATGTTAATGAGACATGTCCATTGAATTCCAACAGAAAAAAAGAAGAAAAAACCGGACGGTTTAACGAGGAAGCTACTTTCTATCATGAGATTTTTTTTAATTATTGTTTTTGTCTATATAGGTGCAGCTGTAAATGTATACAAGACATCTACAACTGTATAGTACTATGAATTATACCTCTGTATTTCTGTAAGCGTTGTTATATATAGGTGGCTGATGCGAAAACACACACGATGTTGACAATAATATTATAAATCAAAATACCATGAAAAAATTATAACGAATGAAAAGAATATTGATACTGACTTTCTTAACGTGATGGAAAATTAAATACACGACTACATTGACCTATGACACAATGACAGTGCATCACCACAGGTATACATATAATATGTGGCTATTATAAATATTATACTGCAGTTTATAATATTATAGACACCGGTGCTTTACGCCTGAGTGAGTACCTGCGGACAATATTCACGAGTAATAATATGACGTACGGTGTCAAACAGAAATTAGAAAACGGAAATATTTACGATCTGTAGATATTATAATCCACCACACTAATTATACACATTATTTATTAATAATATACTGCGGTCTGTACATTGTTAATTACATTTTCCTTTTTATCACGTTATTATATATATATAAATAAAGGTATATCGCATATTATATTGCTTATATTATGTAGAAGAATCATGTGGCAGAAAATTAATGTAGATAATAAAAATATGGAATAAAAATTGAATTATTTTTGTCTCAGATTAATAATTCAGCAGGTATAACATGAACATAATTAGATATTTTTTAAACAATATTTTTTTCGTATTATAATGCCTGCATACATGGAGTTTATGGAATATATCACTCAGATAGTGAAATGCGTATACGCATAGAAATCTGAGATTAAATAAACT